GGGGAATGTCAGCCAAGATACCAACAGAAACTCCCTTCTCTTGTTGAGTAGAGCCATGGGGTCTTTAACGTCCACCTTAATAGGTAGATTGGACCTCGGTTTAATGTCTCTTCCAAACGACTCCAGTCCCCGATGGGATCTATCTCCTTACTAAGAAACGTTAATAAGAAATACTGCAAATGAGTCCCCTTTTTATGGAACAAATCATTTGAAAATTACTGGGCATTTAGGAGGGGATTTTAAGTTCGACTTGCTTTCCTTTGAGGGAAGGGAGAAAAATGTGGGACCGTGGCGCTCCCTGGTGGCAGACTCTGGTGCAGCAAAAGGCCGTCAGATACGAGAAACTTTAGGCTGATCCTAAAAGTTAAGAGAGAGGAGCGACGAGGAATGGCGAGGTAATCTATGGAAGGATATTAAGATGTTTAACCGGACGAGATGGAACAAAGTGACCTTTGCCAAAAGTCTGCAGGACCTGAACTTGTTAAGAGCAACGGTCTGAAGGCTGAAGCCTGGCGGAATTTGCAGGCCAACCGACCACCACCACAACATCAACTACTTGCATGTATATATAGCGCCCCCTCACACACAGAGTAGCGTCCCAGAGCGCCCTGGACACTAAGGCACACGCGATGCCAGTCGGCGCTTACGAGTGAGTTAAATCACGGTTTATGACCTGGAAAACAGCAGGACACGTCGTGCGAATTGTTAGCAATCATCCCCTAATGAGGGAAGGGGGATTGAAAGCCATTCATCGTGAGGGTTGCAGAGGGACTGGGAAGAGCGTTACTGAGGGCTGCTGTTTAGTCGCCCACTCGTTTGACTCGTCCGTTAAAAAGAATTCCTTTAAACAGTTCTGCGATTCAAAAGCTTCCCCGACGCAGAAGCCAAAATGGTTCTATGATGTTTGCGAGCCTCAAAACTTAGTGTCCGTCCTCGGAGGTTTCTTTATACTTTCTATTCCCCCTGAGTAAGGAAAAGGTTGCTTGGCCTCTTGTGTCCCTGGTTAAATCGTAATTTGTAAACCTCAACCAACCGTGAAATTATCTGTCGCCGAGAAGCATTCCAACTTTCCATTCCACTTTGCCGCAGTGTAAATAATTACACCTTGCGAAGCTCTCTGCCCTTTCCGGGATCTTTAACAAAAATAAATTCACAAAATAATAACAATAATAAGTTGGTCACTTCCATCCACGACTGTTCGTGGGACACCGCTGTGCGCAATTGGCTGCTGCGTTTCGCCCGCAAAATACCAGTCAATTCACTTCACAGTGTGTCTGTGAAGCGCTTTGAGACATCTCAGCGAAGTGATAAGGCGCCGTATCAAATGCAAGGATTATTATTTTTTAACGTCCACCCGAACAGGACCTCGGTTTAATGTCTCTTGACGACTGCTGATGCCTTTGACTCAGGAATTAGATCACAAGGTGGGGAGCGGTGGGGGTGAGTTGGGGGGGAGACTTTCAGGTGAAGAAGTTCCTTCTAATCTTATTCCTTTGAATAATAATAATAATAATCCTTGCATTTGCTGTAGCGCTTTTCACGTCTTCTCGACGTCTCAAAGCGCTTCACAGAATAGACTGTAAAGCGAATGGACTGTATATTTGTGGGCAAAAACGCGGGGGCCAATTGCGCCCCCACAAACGGTCGCGGATTGAGTGACGGAATTGTTATTTTTTAAAAAAAATCTTGAGGGATTATATCAGCCGTGTGGAGTAGGAAACTTGCCCAAGGTTTGAACCCTACTTCTGGACCGTTCTCCCATCGCAGCATTAAGCTGTTCTTTTCTTTTCAAAGATTTTTCGCAATAATGTGCAAACTTTTTTGGGTTACGCAGCCACTCGATTGCCTTCCTTAGACAATGTGATATTTTGGGCCCCTGCAATGTAACTCACGGATGGTATCCACTAGAGGGCAATGCAAGGAACACGACCTCAGGTGAACATAGCCTTTGATCAAACAGTGTCCCGTTCCACGACGGAACGGTGGAGATATTGTTCGTACGTTGCAGTTTGGAAATAACAGGGCAAAATAACAGGGGAAGTAAGCGCTCTGAGACGCTACCCTACGTGGAGGGCGCTGTATAAGTGCAAGTTGTCGTTGCGGTAAAATTGCAATGTTCATTAAACATTCTTTTAATCGGCGCCGCCTTTAATTTTCCGTAAATTAAATTTTTTAAAAAAAATAAAAAAACCTCCGTTTGATACAGTGCCACAAAATACCACGCACGGTCAATCCCCTTTACGGTACGGTATATCCCGCGAAAGCACTTTGAGACGTCTCGGTGGTGTGATAAAGCCCTGTAACAAACACCAGGATTGTTATCATTACCACCTTTCGCATCGGGGAGATGTTTCAAAGCTCTTCACAAGATTTACTGTAAACCGCAGTGACTGTGTATTTTGTAGGTGAATACAGCAACCCATTTGCTCTCACGCCATCGTCCCCACAACAAGCTTTGAAATGGATGACCGACTTTATCTGGGGGAGAATGTTGGCTACGAGACTGGGAGACACTCTCCTCTCTTTTTTGAATAGTGGGATTGAACCCTCAAGCTTGAGACTGACAGGCGAGAGCGCTGCCTCCGTGCCAGGCTGACACCCCAATGTGTTGGGCATCGAATGAATTCAGGGGGCTAAAAAAAAATGCATGCTGTACCTAGGCTCCGCACCCTCAGTGTCCTGTCACCTACCTGCGAACTTACCCCCTGCCTGAAAGCGATGACAATAAGGCTTGAGGTTCACTGAGCACAAGGCACTGATCAGCCCGAAACTCTTGGGGTTTTCATATTTTCTTGATACAGCATTTTTGATTGGCTTTTAAGCTCTGCTTCGAGAAGCCGAGAGACAAACAGATGTGGGACTCTCCTTGACCTGGGGTGTGGCCGCCTGTTATGAAATGAAGCAGTTCTCTGCTGCCAAAACACTGCATCATCTCAGGCCCGAGGCAGAGCATTAACATCTCCGCAGGTGTCAATGGGTCTTGTTTACTCAGAAGCTTCTCTGGGCTAAGTGGAGAACTTGCTATAGAGTAACTTTGCTCCTGATCACTCCATATCCCTGCCCCTCCCACCCCAGCTCCACTCCACCCCCCACCACCCCCAACCTTTTATAGATTATAGGAACTCAAAGGCCCAATTTGGGTCTACATCTCACGGAGCTAATACGGAACCTCGGAGTCCTGTTCGACCCTCAACTATCCTTCATACCCCACATTCGTGCCATGACTCGCTCTGCCTTTCCCCACCTCCGCAACATCGCCTGGCTCTGCCACTATCTCACACCTAGGCCGCCGAGACCCTCATACACTCATTCATAACATCAAGGCTCGATGACGCAAACTCCCCGCTTGTCGGCCTCCCCAACCCCTCCCTCCACAGGCTGCAGCCTGTGTCCTCTCCCGCACCAGGCTCCGCGACCCCATCACCCCCAACCTCGCCCGACTCCACTGGCTCCCCGTCACACAGAGGATACAGTTCAAGATCCTGTTCCTTACTTTGAAAGACCCCCCCCCCACCCTTCCTCTGCGACCTCTTTCCACGCTGCCCTCCACCCTCCCTGATTCTGACCCCGAGCTCGGGTTGAAAACACTGATTGTCCAACGCCTTGGGACGCCCTCCCGACGTGAAAGGTACTGTACAAATGTAATTTTGTAGTTGTTGTTTGTCGCTGAACCCACAACCTTCTGACTCAAAGAGAGAGCTACTGGCTGAGCCAGGCTGACACAACGAGCCACTGCTAATCCCCCAACACATTTCTGTACTGCCAGTTTATCTTGTATTTACGATAACTTCTCACGTAATTGGGGCCAAACTTTCACATCTAAATTCAGATTAAAATAGACTCCCCTCCCCCCATCACCACATCCAACCCCTGAACAGACAGCGCCAATATAGAAGTGCTAAATCGTCATATTTTCCACTTATCTGTGGTTTCACTTCAGCGCACGGCCAAAAATGTTAATACTTCACAAATAATAGCAGTGGTTAGGTTAGGAAGTCGTGCTGTAGAATCAATGTGGTGGCAACAAAAGACGGCACAGTAAAGCTTTGGGGACGTTTGTGGAATGTGGTAATATGAAACATGGGCTAAATTTGGGTCCCATTCATTATATATTTAATAAGCCACTCACGCCTGGCTCAGTCACTCGCCTCTGAGTCAGAAGGTTCTGAGTTCAAGCCCCGACGTTGGGATTTTCAACTCATGTAGTGTAGAGTGAGACAATATCACGGGGATGAGGGAGCACTGCATTGTAAGTCCTTTGGATGAAATGTTAGACTAAGTTTCTGTGTGCCTGTTCACATGGACTTTAAAGGTCCCAATGGCACTATTGGAAAAGAGAAGGGAGTTTTTCTTGGTGTCCTGGCCAACAATCCCCAACAGCCCCAGATAAAATTGGTCCCTCCCTTCAGTTGTGTGCAAGTTGGCTGCTGCTACAATCACTACACGCCTAATAATAATCCCTCCAAAAAACAAAAACCATAATAAATTGGTCATTTTTAATCCACGACTGTTTGTGGGACATTGCTGTGCACAATTGGTTGCCGCGTTCGCCTACAAATATACAGTCAATTCACTTTACAGTGTGTTCTGTGAAGCGCTTTGGGACGTCCTCCCGACGTGAAAAGCGCTATATCAAATGCAAGAATTATTATTATTATTACACTTGACGGTAAATCCTGTGAAGCACTTTGAGACAACCTCCCGCCATGAAAGGCATTGCATCAAATGCAAGTATTATTATGATTATTATCACTATTCCCACAACGTGACTCTTTCTCTCGCTCCCTCTCCTCACGTCTGCTCACAGATGTTACCCAAGGCCAACGTTTTGGTCAAACGCTCTGCCTGACTCGGTGAAGTATGTCGGCAACCAAAGAGTTCGTAGATTCTGTCGAGATTGAGCAAACCGCAAACAACAACCCAAAAAAAAATGATTTGAAATGGCGAATCATTGAGCAGTGCGTGGGTGTAACTTTTACCTCAACGCATCATCTCATGCACATCATGGAAACTCTTACAAAAAAGTTTCGCTTGAGGAGTTACTGCAACTACTAATCAACCAGTCAGTTGATTCTAGAGACCTTTGAACGTAGCTCCAGTTGACTCAAGGGTGCAGGAATTGCTAAGATGGAGAAAATAGGCAAGCGTAGGAAATGGGATCTTTGGCTTATTTCCAGTTAAAGTGATTGCCATGTCACGCACCTGATGGAAAACAACTTGGTCTTCAAGCCTAGTCTCAGCAGAAACCGAGCACCAGAAAAAGGTAAGAATTTGGTATACAGGCGATCAGTTGTTTTCATGGATTTTGAGGATCTTGGAATATCTTTAGCAACACTGTGAGACATGTGAGTGCACTGCACTCAAAGCATCTTGCTCCAAATGTGGTGCGTGACCACTGGTGCTGAATGGAGGAGCATTTCGGAAGGGTAGAGTTCTTGGATGTTTGTTTGTAGGCTGGTTTCTCGCTCGCCAGAAGCAGGCGGGAATGAGGCAGATATGGTAGAGGGGACTTCCCTACTGGCTCCTTCAGGCTGAGCACATCAGAAACAGCATTGTGTTGGTTCAAGCCAGGGACAAGATTAGCCGCAGAAAATGATGGGGATGGAGGGCGGTGATGTGAAAAGGGAAAGCAATGTTAAGATGGTACATGTCCCACTCTCAAGTAAAGCTCCAATGGTTCAGATCAATGTTTCAGGGGGAGTTTAATGACACTGGACAATATTTTCTGCCTCATGAATATTTCCTGTTAAAAGCGAATTTGCCTTCTAGAAATTGTTTTTTTTAAACCCTTTACGGCAAGGATTCAACCACAGAGAAACTACTTGTTTTGGACCCTGAAATGTACAAAGTGTCAGCTTTTTCAGTAAGTTGCTGTCAGAGTTTTTTTTTTGGTCAACCAGGTGTCTGACATACGTAGAAACCCATCCTAGTGTTTAAGAGTCTCCAAACCAGGAGTTCCATGTATGCAAGGGTTTTATTTTGTTTGGCACTCTCTCTCGTGGGAGGGATGCACCCTGCTCAACTAACCTCACAGAGTTTTTGGCACAGGCTAGCAAGAGCCGAGGCTTGGTGACCCCAGAGTGTTGCTGTCAGGTTTTGGTACGCTAGGAGCAATAGATGGTTTCTTATGGACACAAGTCACGGGCTCATCTGATATGAATCGTAAGATGCTTTGGGTGCTTTGCAACGAGTAGCAGTGAAAAAGCGAAACTACACACACTCTTGTGTGATGTCTCGGAAAATTTGTATTAATAATAATCCTTGCATTTGATCTAGCGCTTTTCACGTCGAGAGGAAGTCCCAAAGCGCTTCACAGAACATACTGTGAAGTGAATTGACTGTGTATTCGTGCCTTTTGATTCACCCTCTCCCCCCGCCTGTTCCCTGACCAGTGACTGAGAGCTGAAGCCCCAGCACAGAGATTTGGAAGAAAATACAGTTGACAACGTGATAAGATGCTACTATATCGAATGTAAGGATTATTATTATTACAACTTGTCTTCAACAACCTCTCAGGCGACTGGGCCAAAGTGGCCTTTATATAAAGATAGCCTATTTGCTGGTGTCCGATGAGTATAAGATAATCTAAACCCTCTTCATCCCTAGCTTCTCACCACCAACTCCTTACTCTAACATTCCAGCACACGTTCTAAACCTTTTTTTGTCGTTTAGACACAAATAACTGCCGTGTGTTGCGGGTTTGTGGCATTTCATGATCTCTTTTTTAAATGATATTTCGTTTAAGCAAATGGGTTCCATCAATCACCGTCCTGGAAGCGAAACCTCCTCCAGGGGTCTGTTGTTCTCCATTGATACATTTGGGGGGGGGTCTCTCTTTTTTTTAAGTGGTTAAGAAGAGAACAGAAGAGTAGCGTTAGTGTAGGTTTTGTGGTCCTTTTATAATTATAATCATGGTAATCCTTGCATTTGATATGCATCGCCTTATATAGGGGCACTGCCGTGCGCAATTGGCTGCCGCGTTTCGCCATCAAAATACACAGTCACTACACTTTACTGTATATCCTGTGAAGCGCTTTGAGACGTCTCGACGGGATAAGGCGCTGCATGAACGGCAAGGGTTATTTCTATTTATTATTAGCACATCGTTGAGATGTCGCAAACCGCTTGACTGTGTATTTTGTGGGCTGTGACTTTTCTGTGCTATAAGTGAAATCTGAGGTCAGTCAGGACAATTCAGTCTCTCTCTCTCTCGCTGTCTGCCTGCTTTCATAGCTTATTAATTTAACAGCAGCATGTAGGGAGATAAATGCAATCATTTATCATTTATCCCCGAATTACTGACGACAGCAGCTGCTACTGGAACTGATAGTCAGTCAATAAAGTACAATGTTGACCTAGCGCCTTACCACACCATCGAGACGGCTCAAAAGTGCCTCACAGGATTTTAATGTCAAGTGTAATGGCAGCACAATTTGCACTTGGCAAAGTCCCCCCAAACAACCTTTGTAGGTTAACTAGTAAAGAGTTTACCATTAACTGGGGAGATGGACCTGCTGGCAAAGCTGTGGAGTTAATTCTCCAGAAGCTTATATTCTTTGTTGCTGAAGTTGGATGCTCTTTCTACAGCGCTGGGCTTCTGGATTTCTAACTGAAAGCCTCTTGCACAAAGTTAATGTTAAAGAGAGGTTAAGTTGAGAAGGTTATGGAAAATATTGGCTTGTGCCACAACCTCAAAACCACTAGGTTTCAACTAAACAGCGATATAGCCCTCCGTCAGGTTGCAAGCTAAATATTTTCCATCCTCTGTGGTTCCCCTGTGCGAGTTCTATTTATACCATGAAGGGTCTGACAAATAAGTAGCTCTTCACACATTTTTATCAAATATTTAACGTTTTAATTTTAATACCAACGCTCACTCATGCTGAGACGTTGAGCCAGAATGACTGGACTTAATAAAAATAATAATAACAATCCTTGCATTTGATATCGCGCCTTATCACATTTTCGAGACGTCTCAAATAGCTTCACAGAATATACTTTGAAGTGAATTGACTGTATATTTTGTGAGCGAAACGTGGCAGCCAATTGCGCACAGCAGTGTCCCACAAACAATCGTTTGGCTAATTTAAAAAAAAAAATTTTTTGAAGGGTTATTGCCCTTAACAATATTATGAACATCAGGAACCTCAATGTTCTGGTTCAGTTAGTAAATCTACCGTCACAATTAGCTGAGTTTAGTTTGGTAAAGTTTTGTAACTTAGATCTTTAACTTGATTGGAACGTAAGGGAACTTCAGGAAATACATCCTCTCTTTCAACTTATCTGCATGATGTTTGCCATTTTTGTTCACTTAAACCTTCTTTGGGGTCTCTTCGTGCCTTGTGAGTATTCCAGACAATCCCTCTGCCTCTCTTTTCTCTCCCCCCCTCTCTATCTCTCTCAGTAAGCACCACCCGACCCCCACCATCCAATACACACACAGCCACACGCTCAGTCTTGAGAGAAGATTTCTCAATGGGAACCTTATAGAGTTGTATACAATTTTCAATGGGATTGAAGAGTAAACCCAGATGCACCGAGACACATAGAACATGGCCTTATAAAATAATAATAACCCTTGCATTTGATATAGGACCTTATCACGTCTTCGAGACTTCTCAAAGCGCTTCACAGAATATACTGTAAAGTGAATTGACTGTGTGTTTCGAGTTGAGTTGCAAAGGGCAATTTGAAGACGTACACCAGGAAGTTTTACTTTACTCAGAGATAACTGGAGCAGGTCGCCAGCAAGGGATATTGAGGCCAGGGCATCGGGACTCATTTAGAAAACACACGGTGATGGGAGAGTGCGTATTTGGAGACAACGGGATTAGATGTGCCCAAGGGACTACTACTTCACCCAAACTAATCCTATGATCTTGTGAATCCTCACCAGGTGGTGCTGTTGCTCAGTTGGGTACCTGGTTTTCACATGATCTGTGTCTCTTTTAAACTAAAAGTGAAAGCAAAAATAGGAGTATATTCCTCATCGATCAGGTAGGGTATTTTAGGAACCAGAGGAACAGGAGGAGGAAGCCATTCCTCCCATCGAGCCTGTCCCAACACTTTCCAAGATCGTGGCTGAACCACAACTCAATTGCACCTCCCGTCCTCTCTCCGTATCCATGGATACCCCTGACTATCAAGTATACGGCATGGGTTTCCCTGGCTCTCCTACAGTCATGTCATGTTGTTTTCTAGTTGTATGTTAATAAGGGAGTTGGGGGTGGGGGCAGAATGGCTGAAAGCTCACCCACAATGGTGAGTCAATGTGACTCAGAGGTTGGACTATCCTTTAACCCCGTGAATCAAAGACCCAGTACAACAACAACATGCATTTACACAGCGCCTTTCACGTGGGGTAGGGTCTCTTACGGGTTGGGAGGTCCTAGCGAGACGAGGGTCGTGAAATTCGCCAGTGCTTCTTACCGAAGAAAGGTTTGCTATCGATTCACGATTCTGGAGACTTTTTAAGCTTTTTTGTTTCTCTAGTTATTTAACGCATATGGGCTGCGGGGGTGGGTGGGGTGGGGGGTGGGCGGGTGGAAGGGGGCAGTGGGAGGAAATCCTCGATGTGTGATAGTTATAATTAGCAGAACATCGTAGGCTGCAAATTTCTCCCGAACCATTTAATGCTTAAAAGATTAAACCCTCGAGACCACACCCTCGAGTCCAAACCAGACGTGCACATTTGTCGCCTACTAGTGGAGAAATTCAGCAACACAGCTTTCTCGTTGGGATGGAACTCAACCGTCTACACGTTCACATTCCTTGCATTTAATGCAGAGTCTATAACGTCAAAGCGTCTCAAAGCAGCGTCTAGGCAAGTCTAGGCATTGTGTGTCTGTAGGGGAATGCAGTTGCCGATTTACGCGCAACAACAGACAGCTATGGAGTGAATGACCAATTTTGAATCTTGACGATTGTTGGCCAGGATTCTGAGAGAAACTCCCTTCGCGTTTCGAGTAGTGCCTTGGGGGGTATTTAATGTCCACCTGAACAGGGCAGACGAGAGCTTGGTTTAACGTCTCACATACTATCAACCAAGGGAGTAGATTATTGTATATACAACGGCAACAACACAACAACAAAATTAGATTTATAGAGCGCCTTTTCCGTCGGGAGGACGTCCCAAGGCGCTAGACAGTCAGGGGGCAGGGCCCTAGCATGGGTGAGGGGTGAGGGAAGGCAGAGAGGTGGGAGGACGACCCAAGACACGATTGAAGAGGAGGGTCTTGAGACCGGCCTTGAAGGAGGCAAGGG